GGCAGGTTTGGCTGGCTTGAGTTGTGGGGATCGAACCACAGCAACCTGAGCCTGACTGCTTTGTTGAAGCAGCCACTTAAAGAACTGAGCTAAGGGACAGGCCCCTGGTGACTTACATAGGAACAGAGTAGCATGTACCACTACTGTATCATTAGGTCTTTAAGAATAGCACTATCTTTGCCATTACTCTATAGATGTAATAATTTTTTTATTTACTGTCTTGGTCAGCAGAAGGAATTTCAGAGGCTTTCATTCAACATTGGATCTAGCTGTAAGTCTTTTATGGCTGACTTTGTTACACAGCCCCACACATCCTTAACAGGGATTTGACTCTTCGAATGGCTCTAGATCCTGGGGAATTACTGTCTGTGGCCAAGTTAATGACAGTAGGTTCCTTTGTTGAAACACCAATTCAATCATGTACTTTTGCTCACATTGCTGTGAAGGAATGATCCTTTCAGTAAACAGCTTCTAAGTCTGAAGATTTGTTCAGGACAGGAAAGTGTCGCAGTCATCATAACTTTCCAGTAGAGCAATTTTCCTTCAGCATCCTCATTATCCTTAATTCTCATGATAATGTAATTGAGCAATATCCTTGTCAGTTGCCCATTAGTCTTACCCTTGGGAACATCATGATGTTGTAATCATCTCTGTTGCTTTTTGCAAGTCTGAAACCCCTGGCTGCCACTCATCCTTACCATTTTTTAGGATAGTGTACCTACCTGTTAAATACCATGATTTTTGTCCTCTTCTGGATTCTTTCATCTCCATACTATGAGGAAATCCTGCCCTGTAAAGATGTAACTGTTAGTTTTGATGAAGTGTCCTCCAGGCCCTCTTATGGAGTGTGATCAGCTAGTGGGTTTTGAAGCTATCTTATATCTACTTTAGTGTGTTCATTCTTGGCCTGGTGAGCTTTATCCACTTGGCCATGCCAGTTCCATCATTTTCATTTTCACTAGTGTGGGCCATCACTGTTAACAAGTTTCCAAGAGCAAACCTAGCTGTGTATCTGTTTTGCAGGTGTTTTCCTCATTAGCCAATTGTTCATCACAGTAGGGCCCCCATGCAGATCAACTCTCACTCTGCCAGGTTTATAGTTTGTGCTCCTTGATTTTTTTTTTCTTTTCTTCTTCTTCTTCTTCTTTTTTGTGTGTGTGTGTGTGTGTGTGTGTGTGTGTGTCAGTATGAGAGATTGAACCCAGAAGCTTCATGCTGAATTATATCCCCATCCTTTCTTTATTTATGAGATAGTTTTACTGAGTTGCCCAGGCTAGGCTTCAACTTGGGATCTTCCTGCCTCAGTCTCCCAGAGTAATGAGTTTATATGTTTATACCATCACACTCACTCCTTGATGCCTTTTAAGGGATAGTTATATGCTATATATGTTCTCCAAGCTCCTTGAATAGATTGTCCATTCTTCCCATCTCATACCTTGTTAGGTTGTCCTTGGGCACAAGGGGAGAAAGGTGGAGGACCTGAGAGGACCATATGTCTTGTTAGGCAGAAGTCCCCACCTACTCATCAGTGGAAGACATGCTGACTTTTTTTTTTTTTAATGTATTTGGTACAGGGTCTCACTACGCATCTCAGACTCATAGTGATTCTCCTGTTTCAGCCTCTCCAGCGCTGAGATTACAGGCGTGCACCACAACGCCTGGTCTTGTGGTACCTGGGATCAAACCCAGGTCCTTTTACAGGCCCATAAGTTTCACAAGAACATGAAGATTGCCTATTTTGAGAGCATTAACCTCAGTATCTTGGTAATAAGCTTAGGTTTCTTTTCACCCTAAATCAGAACCTAGCTTTCACATAGAAGACCTGCTAAGCTTGAAGTGCTGACTTCTCTGCTACTCTGATGACCTGGGCCTGACCCTCACCATTTTCATCTGGATGTAGCCCATGAATCTCTTGTGGCATCAGAGAAATAGCTGCCTTTCTCATTTCACCTTCACTGGGAATTCCTCTTATCTTCTCAGTATCTTTCCCCAGTATATCTGTGTCCTGTCTATAACTACTGTCCTGATATTTCTTATTCCTCTGAAATTCCCCAAAATACCAATTCCCAGTGCATTCTGTCCTTACCAGTATGGAATAGTCACCAGTCCTGTAGGACAGCTGTAACAGGTGCAGTACAATTGTATGCTTGGCCAATCAGTCCTCCTTATTACCAGCAAATGTCTAATTATTGAGCACCAAAATCCAAATTTGGAGCTGCTTGCTTAGACCATTCCTGCAGTACCTCCTGTCCTGTAGCTTGGCTTGCCAGGAATGTAGACACTCACATTTACATAGCGGTTTGTTGGGAACTACTCTCAAAACACATGTTGAGGGCCAAGGAAAGAAGACTGGGCAGAGTAACTCATGTCCATATGCGATAGGGCTCCCAGCCAGTCCTAAGGAAGCTTGACATGGGAGGAGCAATGACCTAGTGAGGATGCTATCTTTGGATAAAGAATTGCCAAAAGAAAACTCAGCTGAGAACAGTGAACTACCACTCCCTGCAGCTGGGGACACCCACTAAAGGGCAGAGACACAAATGGATGAGGTTTTTGGTTGTTGTTTTGCTTGCCTATATTTTATGAAATGACTAGGTCTCAGAGGTAAAGAAGATAGACAATAAATAACTTCCATTGGAGACAGCTGTAAAATAACAGTGCTGTCAACTGGGAACTTGAGCACACAGCTGGTGGTATTTGATGAAGTATGTTAGTCATGTTTCTATTGCTGGACACAACATTCAACACCTACATGCGTGTTGAAGGAGGAGTTTAGTTTGGCTCAAAGTTTTAGTCCATGGTTCACTGGCTCCAAAGTGGGAACATTGTGGAGGAAGAGTATGGTGGAGCAAAGATGATTACTTCATGCAGAGGAGAAGGGAAGCAAGAGTAGAGTGCCAGAGAGGAAGGGGCATAGATCTTAAAGCCACCCCTCCATGTCCCACCTAGACACACCTAGAAGTGTGCTCCACTAATCCAGGGCAAATCTCAAAATGAGTCAAATTAAAACTCTACCCTAATCACCACATTTATTTTGTGTTATTAATGGAGAATGGAATGAGATATTGTCTTTGTAAGCTTTTCAACATCTGACGTTGATGACAGTCATTGATTATATTAATCTTGTGACTTAAACAGATTTTAGCAGATGTATTCCTTTTAGTATTGGAATCACATCTTTTAGATTAGAAACCTATACTGAAAATTTGAAAAATTGTGTTACACTAAAGACCATTCTTAAGTATGTAAAGTAGTAGACATTTATGACACAAAAAGGAGAGAAAACAGTAACAAACTTAAAATTTTGCTCTTCTGAGAATTATTGTGGGCCAGGGAGATGGCTCAATAGGCCTCAGTTCAATCCCTGGTTCTGCAAAAAATGAAAATTATTGTAAAGAGATTTATATTTAAGAAATCTAGTTTTCTCATGTGAATAAATTAATGATACCAAGGAGGTAATGTGCTTTTTTAGCATCAGTGAAATAAATGTAATTGTAGTAGCCTTTGTGTATATATGAAAGTAAAGTACCTATATAAAGTGTATAGGTCTATACAGTGATACGTTGGTTCACAAGCTTAATTTGTTCTCCAGTTTTGGAAAACATACTATATTTTTATTTGTGTGGGAAAGATGACCACAGTTGTGTTTGTTACTAATACAATTTGCAAACAAAATTTTGCCAACACTTTCGTTTGCAAGCCAAATTGTTTGCAAACAAAAGTGTCCATGAACTGAGGTACTGCTATATCCTGTCCCATAACAGTATCTTGATTGAATCTTTTAGCTCCCAGAATTTCTCTTTAACCACATATACATCTCTTAGTGTGGAAAAAGTAAGTACAGTATATATTTGCTATGTAGATTCTTCATTTTTTTTTAAGCTTTTTAAATTCACAGATCTTCCTGGCCAAACAGATTCCAGCTCTGAATTCAATTCTCTTTATATTTCCAATTGCACTCAGTGGGGGAAGAGGGCTAATGGCATTTGAGAATGTTCATCTGTGCCCAGCAAGCCTGGGTCCCTTGTTTCTACTCTTACAGTTGTTCTGAGGGACTGGATGAGGATTTCCTTTTTGTATATTAATCTTGTGAATTAAACAGATTTTAGCAAGGCAATATTAACACTGTAACATCAAGTAAAACAAAAACAGATTCATAGGCTCTGTTCCAAGATTCTCCTCAAGCTGTAGAGCACAAGGAGATTTGAGAATAGCTGCTAAGAACACACGGGAGCCACTCTGTTTGACCCTGACTCCTGTGTGTCCTGCTAGAAATGCTGAAGCTGGGAACAGACTGGTTTTCAGCAGACACAAATGTAACTCACTGACATTCTCTCTTTGCAGTGAAAGAAGCTGGGCGAGATTTCACCTATGTAATAGTGGTACTCATTGGAATCAGCATTACAGGTAGCAAAAAACAGCAAGTATAACATTCTTGTATGTCTCTTTAACATAACTTTTCATCTTATTCTTGCTTTGCTTAATCTTTCTCTCTGATTTTTCAGGTGGCTTGTTTTATGCGATTTTCAAAGAACTTTTTTCTTCATCCAGTCCTAGTATGATATATGGGAAAGCCTTAGAAAAATGCAGAACACATCCTGAGGTTAGTTCTACGATGAGAGGGAGAACATGTTGGGGAGGAGGAATAGATAGAACTCAAATATCAATTCTGAAGCCAGGGGAATGCATAAGAATGCTGCTGGCTGAGCTGTGATTGTGTTATTAGGCCTTTAGTCTGTATTTGGAGGATTTTGATCACAGCCACCCAACAGTCAGTATATAGATGTTTTCATCCTAATTGTATATATATTTTTTTCAATATTTCAACATGGAAACAGGACTCCATGAAACAAACACAAAGAGTAAGCTATTGTTAAGGTGATAATTTGCTACCGAAAGGAGCTCTATGAATAGTAGTTAAATTTTAACAGTTCAGTTTTCCTGTATTTGATTTTTAAGGGCCAGCTCTGCTGGCTACTATGCCTGCTTGAAAAAAAAAAATCCTAACATTCTAGCACTCATCTTTTCATTAAATTATTTGGGAATTTACTCTATGTGTTTTAGCAAAATATATGTCACCTTTTATATTCCTTTTCATTCATGCCTGAAAGTTGTAAAGATAGGCAACAAAGAAAAAAGTGAGAAAAATTATACAAAGTTGACAGCAAAACTCTTTAGTTTGACATCAAAATTTGTATTTTTTAGAGTGAATCCTAAGAATTTGGTTATTAAATTGAATGAAAACATTTCTACTTTGTGTATATTTTTCCATGAAGATTTACAGATTGATACTTGGTCTATTTTAAATGTGTCATTGTTGCTTGTTTGTGTTTTTTTTTTCTTAGTGCATTTAGTGACTTAAAATTCCATGTTAATCTCATATGTTTAGTATTAGACCCATCCATTAAATTTTATTAAAAATGTTCAGACATTGTGTCTTCAGGACATGAGGTGTTAGTAGAGAACTATTTGGACACTTCACTTTTTTGTAAAGGGAATAAACAGCTTCATTTCAATGAACACTATTCCAAAATTACAAGTAATACCATGAAATTACTTGTTTCCATCTCTGTGCATGAACAAATTGGAATTGTCCATTGTGATGATTTTTGCATAATGACTTTTCTCCCAATTTTCTTATCAGTGGAGTCCCACCATTTTTGAAAGGGCACTAGTCTTACTGATTTTTTCCTTAAAATATTTTCATCAGAAAATAAACTTGTAAAAAGAAAATTGAAGTGCTAAAAGTAAGCATTGTCTTTATTCTGTAGGTGATCAGTTTCTTCGGTGAGCCTGTTAGAGGCTATGGGGAGATGACAAGACGCGGGCGAAGGCATCATGTCAGGTACCACAGTCTGCTTCAAGGTAGAAAGCTCAAGGATGGTTTCTAAGTAAAAAGAACTGTGACTTACATGATTTCATGTCTCAACAGTTTTATTGATTATGTAAAAGATGGACTGAAACACACACGGGTAAAATTCTACATTGAGGGCTCTGAGCCAGGAAAGCAAGGAACAGTGCATGTGGAAGTGAAAGAGGTGAGAAAACTGGGTTATCAGGGGCCAGTGGTTCTGACAAGAGTGTTATCTAAGCTCTGGAAAGGAAAATAACATCTGCATTATATATTTTTTCAGAATCCAAATAATGGTGAATATGAATTTCGGTACATATTTGTGGAAGTGGAATCCTATCCTAGAAGAACTATTATCATTGAAGATAATCGATTCCGAGATAATTAAAAGAATCGAGCAAGCATGCTGTTTCCTAGTGGCTGTAGAGTGGTGCAGATTCATTATGATCTTCGTGGCTCTCTTCCAGAATCTGTTCAGAAGAGTAAGAAGAGTGTATCAGTGAATGTAGTAAGATATTGGATACATTTAAGCCTTTGTTGTGAAAAATCATGAAATAGACTATAGAGCATATTTTTAGTATGAATTGTCAATTACGGCAGTATTTCTGCTTATTTAACATCATTTGTGATGAGCTTTTTGTTACGGAAATTTTTACACCATGTAAGTAAAATGAATTTACATATTTTATATCTATATAATTTGGAATCTGTCTTAAGATAAACATGGAAGTATTTGAGAACTATAGTGAGCTAGAAAGTAAATACATTATAAAAAGGTTGTGGAAATCTCACGATTTAGGAATCTTTTTCTTGATTTCCACTCTATGACCCTAGGCAATATCTACTGTGGAAAGAGAACACAAACCGCACTCTGGTGAACCAGCTCTCACTGTGCCTTTTCTAGCCAGTGTGCAGGCCTTGCAGGTCCTTCAGCCTCATCAGACCTCCTGTTCCCTGGTTAGCTGGTGACTGAGGTGATAGGTACAAGTGCCGTGCTGTAGAGAGTCCATGAGGTGTCCCAGCCCCTTTAGAACTTTGCTGATATTTGTCACTGCCAGTAGGTCAAACATAAGTAGTACTTGTTCAAATGTGTTTGTGAGGCCCTTTTTAAAAAATAATTTTAAAATATGAACCTACTTTATTTTACCCTACTTTATTTGAAGTATTTGCTGGACATCTATTAAAGTGACCTTCACTTACAAGTCTTTATCACATAACTAAAGTGTTCTATGTGCTGTTATCTGTGAAGGCTTCACAGTGGAGATTCCTCAGCACTGTTCATTGTTCTTGAGAACTGGTAGTGGAGAGGTTTCTGATGGGTGTTTGAGATCCTAGCATATTTAGGATTGAAAGATCTACAGGAAATTTGTTTCCCTGCTTAGTTTGTCTACTAAGTTAGTTAAATTTTTTGTTTAACTGCTGTCTTTAAGTCCTTTATTATTTTAATTCTAAAAATTTCAAAGTATGGAAAGTATTACAACAGAACTTCTGTCTCTGAGAGGGAACATGCTTTCAGCGACAGGGTGAACTCTTAATTTGGGTTCAGTCTCACAGTTTTTCTGTCCTTCCCAGTAGATTGCTTATCATTTATACAGAACTATTCTTTTGTAATGTATAATAAACTTTTTAAAAGTTTTTAAATGTGACCTGATTTTGTTTTTAGCAATAAAAATATACAAGTTACATCTACCTATGTATACTAGTGAATCTTAAGTCTAGTTCAATTTTATTCATCTACTCATTGATGTAGCTTCACAGCCAAAGATGTATCATTTAAAATTATGAAAAGGTACAGCACCTTGTAACCATAATGTTAAGTGAAATAAGACACAAGCTTAAAATCATGTGATTTCTCTTATGTGAAAAACCGAACATAAGTACAGAGATCATTCTCAAATGGGAAGGCAATCAAGAAATGGTGAGAGATAGGAGGGGAAGGGAATGGAAAAAGAAAGATGTATTATGTGCATGTGCCAACTCCCACAAACAGTGTAATCATCATGAACTACAGACATACTAATAAAAGAGGCAAAAGAGTGCTACTGTTTTGTACTTTATAAACGTTAATTGGTTATACCACGAAATTATTGAAATACATATTAGTATGAGAATTTAAAGGGAAAAATAAGCCACCAACAAGGATACAAATAATTTGTTTCTTGTCTACAATTGTTGATAATGTTCCCTAAAACACCAAAACCTGGAGATAATTATGTATAAACATTAACCTACTTAAAATTACTATAAGGAATGTTTTTTATATTCTGTGTACATGAGCAAAACAAAACTTTCTCTTGAATTATTTTTCCATCTTACTAGAAGCTTCACAAAGTGGCTATAAAGCCAGTGAAACATTCCTGACAGTTTTCTGCCTTGTAATAAAAGTATAAGCTGATTTTATATAAAAAGTATTGAAGTGATCATTTCACCAACTACAGTGGTAAATGCTCTGCAGAAAATCACCTGGTACTCTTGAAGTCCTCACACAAAATGCATAATCAAGTTCATGTGAGGATTGGAGATTCTGTCCGAGGAGAGAAAATTAGACTTCAGATTATGTTTTATAATGAGAATCTAGAAAACATTTTTAAATTCATTATAAATTAATATATGTATAAAACATTTGTTTAATTTAGCTGTTAAAATGTATTTCATTCATCACACTCAGGACCTGGTGACATCTTTCTCTGTTGCTAGTAAATCTTTGGCCTTTGAAGGCTCCTTCCTTTATTTTTTAAATCCATAATTGACAAAGCTGTACATATTTATGATCATATTTGAAATATTCTTCACTTTATCATGTCAAACACCTAATAGTTCACAGGTAAGAAAAACATGGATTTTCATGAGTACCTAACATTTCCCAAATTAAAAAAAAAGTCCAATAGTCTTGGTTAAATGATAAAATATAACAATTCAGAATATTATATTAAATAATATTTTATTAAATATGCACCATAGCAACAGAGCCAAAGGCGAAAACCACATGGTCATCTATATATACAGAAAAAACTTTTGACAAAGTTTAACACTCATTCATGAGAAAAATCCTGCAGAAAAGTTGGAAGAGATGGTCTTGACCTAAACATGATAAAACCTATCTATGACAAACCAACAGCCAACATCATACTAAATGGACAAAAACTGAAAGCTTTCCCTCTAACAAGATGTCCACTGCCATTTGTCACCAGTCCTGTTCAATATAATTCTGGAAACATTAGCCAAAGCAATTAGACAAGAGAGAAATAAAAGGAATAGGAATTGGAAAGCAGGAAGTTAAATTATTATTTGCAGATGAAAGACCCCAAAAACCACCAAGGGGCTCCTAGGATTAAATTCAATAGCATAGCAGAATACAAAGTCAATGAAACATGGGCATCCATGTTTATAGTAGCACAATTTGTCATAGCTAATTCTTGGAAACAACCCAAATGCCCAAGAACCAAGGAATGGATAAAAAGATATCTTTGTATACAACAGTTTATTACTCAGCTATAAAGATAAACTCTAGGTTTTTTATATGTAAATGGATGCAACTAGAGGCTATACTCCTAAGTGAAATAAATCAGACCCACATGTGTAAACATACTGTCTTCCTAGTGTAAGAACCTGAAAGAGTAAATAAAGTCTGAAAGATAAAATAGATACAGTAAAAAGAAAAGAAAGTGCTTAAAAGGAAAGAACAATTGGGATGAGAGGAAAAAGGAAGAAAGTAAAGGAAGGAAAAGGAAAGAAAAAAATATGTATATACACAGAAGAGCTAGGATGACTGTACTACTAATTTATTGTTTTTTTAAAGGAGCAGTTAATGCTTAAAATTTTATTTTGACCACTTTAATCTGAGCAACTACTTTGAAGACAACAATATGCAGTATAACCACCATTATTGAATTCCTGTCATCTTGTTTAAAATTCTGTACAATTTTTATTCATTTGTCTATTAACTTTAAAGTAAAAAAGAAATAGAATTAAGTATCAGATTTTCTTGTTTGAAAGTGAAAAAATTTCTAACAAAGGCATCCAGGCTGTTCCACTTTTTAAAAAATATATAGGGCAACAGATGTGGTTCTTGATTTTTATTAGGGAAGATAACCATAAAATTTACCGTATTACTACATAGAGAATGATACTTTCCCGCTGCCTTTAGATCCAAGCTCACAAAGTGTATTAATCGGATCACTGAATCTGTTTCTGCTTTTTTCGTTGTCTTAGACCATTTTCTGTTGCTACAACAGAATACCTGAGGCTGGGTTCATTTAGCTCACAGTTCTGGAACTTCAAGAATATGCCATGAGCATCCTCTTGGTTCTGGTGAGGGTCCCATGGTGAATGACTCTGCGATGGTGGGAGTGTGTGTGACAAATAGTACATGTGAAAGAAGATTTTAGACTTGCTTAAACAGTCCATTTTAGAGAACTAATGCATTAGTTCATTCAGAGGGTGGAGCACCTCCTGACTTGATCACTTGCTAACAGACCCCCTCTATTAAGGGTCCTACCCCCTCCACACTGCTGCATGGGGGCCCAGTCTTCCAGAAAATGACCTATGAAGGACATATCAAATCATAGGGCCTATAAGTAAGCCTCTTTATTTAGTTAGCTGTATTTTGAGATTTATGAAGTCACCAACCAAGTGAGAGCTGGGACCTTACCACCATGATTACAGTAACGAACATCTCACCATGTAGCTGTCTCGTTGGGAGGGGAAAAATTCAATCAACAGTAACCAGGAGCTCAGGAGAAGAAAGGACATTTATTGACACTAACAGATTGCAGTGAGTAATTCCCAAAGTCAGAGGTGAGATTTACAGAAAGTTTGTCTTTTTATAAGTTGATGAACAGAAGTTACAAGAACAGCTTTTGTTGAAGGCCATGATATATTGGGTATCTTGGGATGAGCATGAAAAGGACCCTTGCACATGTAACACATTGTTCTTCTTCATTTCAGAAGTTTTGATTTGATGACAGGTCATAATTTAGCTGAGTTGCATGGCAGAGAACAGAACAACTGCAGTGTTAGGTTAACAAATTGGCTTGAAGCTAGGTAAGGATTTCTGCTTCAGCCTCACGTCACATTTTCCTGCCTCCTGAAGTAACCACATAGATTATGGCCTTGCTTTCCTCTTTGCATGATGGTGCTTATATATATCCCACACGTCCATCAATATTTAATTGATTAATTATAATTAATATGTAGTACTTAAAATTCTTTAAATTATTTGCAGTCAATCATTTGATCAGACACACTATTGCTTGCCCTTCTAGGATTCTGCTTTCATGGACAGGGTGCCGTCTGAAAATTTGCACATTTATGTCAGTTTTTCAGTACATCTCTAGGAAAGAGCATGAGCTTATAGAGCATTGATGTCCAACTTTCAGAAATCCTGCCTGCATCTTATCCTCTGAGTAGCTACTACAAAGACAACATATGCAATGTATTAATTATTGTAACTGCCCTACTAACCTGTTTTGAAAATGAAACAGTTTTTGAAACTGTTTCATTGCTATTTTATCTTTTTTCCCATTAAACTGAATTAAAAAAGAAATTTCAAAGTAATTCTAACACTACAATGAATCATGACTGTATAAGAAATTCTATGGCTCTAGGCACTCTCTGGCTCCTGTCATTAATTTTTGATATTTGTTAGCCATATTGGTACAAGAGTTAAATCTTTGGGCCAGGGAGATGGCTCAGTGGAATAAGTGCTTCCCTGGCAAATGAAGGGTCTGAGTTCAAACCCCAGTTCTGCAAAAAAAAAGAAAAAGAATTAAATCTTTGCAGTACTGAAGACTGAACCCAGAACCTCATCCATACAAAGCAAGTGCTCACCACTTAGCTACACACCTAGTTCTGTTTTTTTTAATTTTAGACAAGGTCTTACTAAGCCTAGACTACCCCAGACTACGAACCTTCTTTCCTCAGCCTCCTGATTGGATAAGAACACAAGCCTGAGGCGCCACATCTACCTCTTTGTGTTCTTGACTGCCATTCGCTAAAACGTAATCATGCTAAATATCTCTTGATATAGTTTATATGTTCCTTTGTCCAGATTGTTTCTATTGATATTTTTTGTTTTTTTATTAATTGATTCATAGCAGTTTTTAGTATCAGTTGATATGAATTAATTCTCAGGTATATTAATTCTTTGGTAATATTTCAATACCATCTCTAGGTTTTTAACTTATTACAGTGTTTTTATATTGTATCTTTCGATGACTAAGTGCTTTTTTTTAATGGTTTTTTTTTTAAATTTATTTTATGTGTGTGTGTGTGTGTGTGTGTGTGTGTGTGTGGCCAGCTCAGCCCACCAGGGGGCAGGCTGGCTGGCATGTGGTGCTGGGGGATTGAACCGTGGTCGCCGTGCTTTGCTAAGCTTGTTCTAAGTAGGTGCTTTAGACCACTGAGCCATCTCACCAGCCCCAAAAAGCTTTCCCAGTTTATTCTTTTTTTTTTTTTTTTTGGCGGAACTGGGGATTGAACTCAGACCCTTGAGCTTGCCAGGCAAGCACTTATTCTACTGAGCCATCTCCCCAGCCCCTTTAAGTGCTTT